ATGATGAAATACCTCGTTTTACATTTCCTAATGATAATAATGATACATTAATTATTGATCGTACATATTGGCATACAAATGATTATATATGTCAAATAGATATACAAGATCATGATCAAATACCTAATCATACATTAATGCTTATACATGATCTTGATCAATTAAAAAATTATGATTATTTAACTGAACAAAAACCATCATTTCAATTTGATTCACCAAAATTTTATCTTGATAATCAAGCTAAACTTTATTTTAATTCAACAAATAGTACAACATTAAATGAAGGAGTTTATTATTTAGCATTTAAAGTAACAACAAAAAAAACTAACTGAAAAAATTTAATTCATATTTTTTTTATTTTTTGTAGATTATTGATGGTGATAATTATTTTGATGAAAAATTATTAAAATTAATTGTCGTTGATAATTATGATCGTGTTCAAACTATTGTTAAATTACATGATTATCTCGGTTCACATTTAAATAATCGTTTTTCATATTTACAATATCGTTCAAATAATAATAATAATAATAATAATAATCAACATTATGCATATCAAACACGTCATTCATCATCATCTTTATTAGATCAATCAAATAAATTTCTTGTTTTTATTGTTATTACTGTATTAAGTATAATACTTATTGGTATAACATTTATATTTATATCATTAATTCGACGAAAATCATTACAACAGAAAGAATTATTAAAAAAACAAGATTCATTATCAACATCATCAACTCTACAACAACAACAACAATCAGATAGTTCAACAATAAATTTATTTAAATCATCAACATTAAATAGTAATGATAAACGACAAAGTTTACGTGTTAGTAATTGTTATGAATATAATGATTTATCATCATCACCATCATTACTTATGTTAACGAAAGAATCAATATTACCAACATCACATATGAATGATAATTGTTGTTTATTAGAGAAATTAAATGAAAAAGAACTTTATGATGAACAAAGAAATAAGGTTATTTTCATTTTATATTTACAAAGAAAAGAAATTTAATAAATTTTTTTATTTAGACATATTCATCATGGATGTTATCAACAACAAATCGTCCTGATTCTCGTTATTCTCAACGTAGTAGTGATTCATCAACATTTCATTCACTTAATCGTCTTTCTATTCCATCACAACTTCATTCAACAACAAATTTATCTCAACAATTATGTTCACCTAAACGACATTCAACAATAACTTATGAATCAACAGCAACAACATTAACATCGAATTCAAATAGTCAACCACAAAATCCATCATCGGAACTAACAGGTGTATGTGGAGAATTATTTGTTGATGATGAAACAATAGCAACTGTATAATCTTGTGATGTTGTTTGTGGTTGACTATTTGAATTCGATGTTAATGTTGTTGCTGTTGATTCATAAGTTATTGTTGAATGTCGTTTAGGTGAACATAATTGTTGAGATAAATTTGTTGTTGAATGAAGTTGTGATGGAATAGAAAGACGATTAAGTGAATGAAATGTTGATGAATCACCACTACGTTGAGAATAACGTGAATCAGGACGATTTGTTGTTGATAACATCCATGATGAATATGTCTAAATAAAAAAATCTATTAGATTTCTTTTTTTGTAAATATAAAATGAAAATAACCTTATTTCTTTGTTCATCATAAAGTTCTTTTTCATTTAATTTCTCTAATAAACAACAATTATCATTCATATGTGATGTTGGTAATATTGATTCTTTCGTTAACATAAGTAATGATGGTGATGATGATAAATCATTATATTCATAACAATTACTAACACGTAAACTTTGTCGTTTATCATTACTATTTAATGTTGATGATTTAAATAAATTTATTGTTGAACTATCCGATTGTTGTTGTTGTTGTAAAGTTGATGATGTTGATAATGAATCTTGTTTTTTTAATAATTCTTTTTGTTGTAATGATTTACGTCGTATTAATGATATAAATATAAATGTTATACCAATAAGTATTATACTTAATACAGTAATAACAATAAAAACAAGAAATTTATTTGATTGATCTAATAAAGATGATGATGAATGACGTGTTTGATATGCATAATGTTGATTATTATTATTATTATTATTATTATTATTATTATTCGAACGATATTGTAAATATGAAAAACGATTATTTAAATGTGAACCGAGATAATCATGTAGTTTAACAATAGTTTGAACACGATCATAATTATCAACGACAATTAATTTTAATAATTTTTCATCAAAATAATTATCACTATCAATAATCTACAAAAAAAAAAATATGAATTAAATATTCTCATTTAGTTTCTTTTTTTGTTTTACTTTAAATGCTAAATAATAAACTCCTTCATTTAATGTTGTACTATTTGTTGAATTAAAATAAAGTTTAGCTTGATTATCAAGATAAAATTTTGGTGAATCAAATTGAAATGATGGTTTTTGTTCAGTTAAATAATCATAATTTTTTAATTGATCAAGATCATGTATAAGCATTAATGTATGATTAGGTATTTGATCATGATCTTGTATATCTATTTGACATATATAATCATTTGTATGCCAATATGTACGATCAATAATTAATGTATCATTATTATCATTAGGAAATGTAAAACGAGGTATTTCATCAT